GACTTCATCAATCAATCTTGGTCTTTCCTTCCAGCATCTGGAAGGAATAAGTATCAGTATCTTTCTACATACATTATAATTTACACTTTCTTGACACAATAAATTTTTGTTTTTAAACGATTCGTTTTTCTTAGTTATTGCTTACTTCACATTCATTCAATTTTTCAAGCATTAATTTAACTTTACCCTGGCTCTCCACCGTGTGTGGTGTCAAACGGGAATATTCGTGTTTTAGTCTTACAACACTTCCCCTAACCACCATGATTTGTTAGAATTCAACGACCAAATAGACACACCTTACTCGACATTCTACAACAACTCAATGAGCTACTTTAATATTCTTAAAAATTCAAATGTAGGTGGAGAACCCTACAAAACACATTCATTCTAACTTCCCCCTCATTCATCTTTAAACATGCAGGCTTTCGCTCTAAAGCATGACTTTATCTACAATTTAATACTTAAATTTTGACTTCATTGCTTTTAAGCATTCACTTTTAGCATCTACAATTTTATGCTTCTAGACTAAATTCTACTTTTACATAACATTTAAGTATTTACGTACATTTACAAAATTTTAATACATATGATTTTTACAATTTACCACAAAATGAATAAGAGAAAATAAATTTTTACTTTACTCATTCTTCGCCAAGCTGGCGGCACTGAAACTAAAATTCTTATTAATACAAGAATACGAAGTTATTTTTTATCTTCGGCCAAATTTTGGCTCTAACATAACAGAATTAGTCTTTCGACCAACAGAAAATGCTTGTTTTTAGCTTTTACACTTAAAGAAAATAATACTTTTGCCTTAGCTAAATAAAGTAAAACAAAACTAAGTCTCAACCGAGACATATTGACTTTCGTCAAAACATAGAACTTCGTACTTATGCATAACATTTCGGAACAAAAGAGAAAAAAAAAATTTATAGAAGGTTTTAACTTATCTTTGAGTTTTCGATGCTTGAAACTCCGTCATTCATTTTTGTCAAAATTGGTCCCAAGTTAGAGGTTTCATGGATGTTAATCTTCTCCTTACTGCCCTCCGAGTGTCGTCCACATTAATTTTTCTTTTGCGTCCTCTACATGCTGGCCTCTTGGCGGAGTAATCGTCTGGTGGGTTGGCATTTCCGTTTTTCCCTGGGACGGCTGGTCTTGACGTCCTCCGGTCTGGAGTCCTTCTTGAATTTCTTCTGTCTGTTCCTCGTATTTTTGTGCCTCCTGTTGCCGTTTCAGTTTCCGGAACGGCGGCCTTGCTGGCACCTGACTCTGTGGCCGTGTGCGCGTTCTCCTTGATGTATAATTTTTCCTGCAATCCTTTGTAGGTGGTTTTTGTTTTTTTCTTTACCACGGTTTCTTTACCCGGTGCATCTGTATTTTTGTTTTTCTTAAACGCTGGAGTCTGAAAGTTATTTTTTTCTTTTGATACCGACGTCCGGGTTGTAGAAGAGCTAGGTCTCTCTTCAGTTCTCTGTTTCTTGGGTGGTGGAATAGTTGTTATCTCTGGACCTTCTATTTCGTTTAGACTTGAGTCCTGCAAGAAACTTTTAAGGATTTCAAAATCATTTGGATTATAGTATTTTTTCACCTGGTCGGGACTTGCTTTACAGATTCCCCTCTCTCGTTCTTAAGATATAATACTACTCCTTTGATTTCCTGAATTACATAGGGGCCTTCAAACTTTGGAGCTAGCTTTGCCGTAAAATTGTCTGGGGCACTTGATAAAGAAAATTTCCGCTTCAATACTTTATCCCCAACTTTAAAATCTGCTTCACGGCGTTTTCTATCATAATATATTTTCTGCCTATTTCTTGCCGTATCCGAGGTTTTAAGCGCCTGATCAATCAGCTTTTGCACATCTTTTGTTTTTTAAACTCCTGCTCTCTTTGTTGCACAAAGAATAATTTATCTAAAGGCGTAATTAACTTTCTGCCTAAAAATAATTCTGCTGGATTTTTTTCCTGTAGTATCATGATTTGCCGTTCTTAAAGCATAAGCTAATTCATTTATGTAGCCATCCCAGCGCTTGTGATGTGTGCTCACGTAACTGCGAATTATTTTTACTATATTTTTATTAACTCTTTCTGCTATGTTAGCCTGTGGTCTATACGGAACCATTTTGATATGGCGTATGCCAAGTTCCATTGCATATGTTTTCAAATATTTGACTAATGAATTGTTTTCCGTTATCGCTAATGACTTTTATCGGTGCACCGTATTTTAAAATGTATCTGTGTAAGAATGCATCTGCGACTGTTTTGGCTGACGCGCGTTTAAGTGGAACAATTTCTGTCCATTTTGAAAAATGATCTACTATTACTAAAAGAAAACGATTTTTATTTAACTCGCTCTGGGGGAAGGGACCAAGAAGATCTATGCCTAAAATTTCATTCGGAAATGTAGCGCGAATGCTATTTAAGTACCCGGCCGGGCTGTAATTAATATCACTTTATTAACTGACATTGATTGCAGGACCTGACATACGCCGTTACTATTTTGTATAATTGCGGGAAATATACCGCCTCGCGTACCCTTTTTAAAGTCTTTCTGACCCCTAAATGGCCCGCTGTTTTTTCTTCGTGTAACTTCCTTCAAAATGCTTAATCGAAGCGAGGCTGGGATGACTGGTTTATACTCAAGATTTTCGTTTGTTGTTTTTCGTATAGAATAATAAATTATCTATTATTTCATAGTTTTTTTGCTCTATTCCTTATCGCATCGATATCTGTGTGCTCGAAGCTTTCGGGGTCTTTCAAATAAGCATAGATATTTCCAAATTCAGGAGATCAGCTTTCAGTTCAGTAATAACCGTATCTCTAGAATCTAAAATTTTTGAAGTCAACACAGCGCATTTAAGTTCATTTCCTTCATCGTCCAGTTTTATACGAGAAAGTGCGTCAGCTACATTGTTTTCCTTACCCGGTTTATATTTAATTGTGATATTATATTCTTGGAGTTTTAAAGCCCATCTTATTAACCTGGGCGTTAGGTTTTTCCCCGAGTAAAGTCTACCAACAGCCGCATGATCCGAAAACTGACTGCGGCTTTGGTACTGGCGATACTTTACTGCGATTTGCCGAAATAAACTCGAAATTTGTGTACAGCCATTAATACGGCTAATGTTTCTCTTTCTGTAGCTGTATAATTCCTTTGCGTCTGATTCAATGTTTTACTAAAAAATGCCAGAGGATGATTATTTTGCATAAGAACCGCACCCACCGCATAGTCTGACGCATCTGCTGCAATTTCCAGGTTTTCGTCCCCCTCCGGGAATTTTAAAAACAGGGGCATTAATGAGCGCTTCTTTTAATCTTTCAAAAGCTGTGTTAGCTTCCGCTGTCCACGTAAATTTACCCCTTTTTCTTTTGATTACTAAGAGTGGTTCAACAATATTAGCGAAATTTTTTATGAAAGATCGATAGTAAGAACATAAGTTAATGATTACCTGTAAGTTTAATGATAATTTCCCGATGCAGTGACAATTTTTTTTTCCTTGCCCGCTATAATTTCCGTATTTTGGTTTTAAATAGTCGTACCCTATAAAAATTCTTATTGAAAGAATTTATCACCTCATAAAATTATCCTTCTGCTCCCTGTATCGATGAGGGCTTCTACTGGAACATCGCCAACCAGGACTTGTATAATTGGTAAGCTGTGAAGTTTTTTACGACTGACCGTATTTAAATGTCTATTTGAGAGGTTTTTTTAAAACTTCCGGGGTCTGGACCCTCCCTTTCACAGGCCCCTCTACTCGTTTAAAGCTTTCCTTTCAATCTGTGCCTTCTGGGTACGCGGATGTTTATTTTCAAATTTTCCTTTTTGGGCCTTGACCTTCGAGTTTCGATGAGTTAGCTTGATAGTTCTTTCCCCCATAAGAGCGATTTCCATTTCTGGTTTCCTCATTTGAAGATTTCCTTCGGGTACTTTGAGAATATGTTTCCCCTCTCGCTTTTTTCCGCTATTCTGCGATTTTGAAACTTCACCGCCAATTCGAAGAGTTCCTGCAATGTGCTTGGGTTTCTAATTTCAAAGTAGTCTTGAACAGCGGGTAACAATCTTGGTAATATTTATTTCAATAATCTCCGCATCGGGTTTCTTTCCATACAGCATATCCGTTAGCTTGATTTTTCGTAGAATAAAGTCCGTCAATTCTGCTATATCCCGTTGATAGAAACTATATAGTTCGGCTTCCAGCCGTGCGCGATCTTTCACTATGGGGAAGGCCTTTACTAACGATTTTTTGAAATTTTCAAATGTATATGTCTGGCTTCCAAATTCCCCTAATAAAATTTGCCTATATTTTCCACCATAGCGCGGCCTGTCCTCTTAGTGCTGATGTGGCGATGGCAACTTTTTGTCTTTCAGGAACAGGGTAAGAGCTGAAAGTGGTTTTCTAGACCTTCTAGAAATACCGCCACCGAATTTTTTCCGTCGAAATGGACGTTTGGCTTGATTGACGCTCTCAAAGTCTGGACCAGGTATCCAAATCCTTCCAACTGAGTTGTCATTTCTTGGTGTTGTCCAGCGGCTTTCCATCCAATTTTCGGCCATTTCAGTTCGATAAGTGTTCGGGCGCCAATGTAACGTTGCGCGCCTCAAACTTGCACGCAACCAAGAGGTGACTGTGAAAACTGGATAAAAGACAGAGTCTTGTGAAGGGTTTAAGTCCCTTTTTATTCAACGTAATAAATTACAATTGCGTCCTCTTGACGCTTACAGACTGTGCCAACTTGGCAGTCAAATAAAAATAATAACCTGAAAAGAAAGTAAAGACAAGATTCTAACTACGAGGCTCTCTAAAAATAACTAACTCACTGCGTTTTACAATACCGCTGCTAATTCAGCAGACTTGTATCCACTTCATTGAGCCTGAAATTTTTTTATTTTTACATCATTATAGTTATTGAACTTTTACATGAATCCATAATTACTACTGAGGTTCATGACCAAATGTTTGCGTGCAATAAAAATAAAAAATACATTTGAAAATTGCTGACAAATACAACTTTCTGGATGAATATTCAACTGTTAACACAAATTTATTTATGTGTCATAAATCAAGTGGATAAAGTAATTGTACATTGGCAGTTCATTCTATTTCAGTTCAAATATTATCTGTGTGAATATTTTCATTGCTTTCCTCATGTACTTCTGTCTGTATGTTGCAAACATGAATGAGTTTAATTTAAGCTAAATAAATAGTGCTAAATAAAAGGAAGCCTCGAGGACTGGATAATCCTTGCATGCATTGTCGTAATCATTTATTTGTGTACCTGAATTTTATTCAATAAGACAAACACAGTTATTTTAAAATCGTAATTGATGACACCGTAAATAAATAAAAACTGATAAAAATTATTATACGTAAATTTACCCTCATACACTCATAATTACACCTGGTTTACTCATCATGGACCTCTTAGTTGTATGCTTTATTTAAATATTTGAGGCTGTTTACCCGCAAATAATAATAACATAATAATTATTTTTGTGGAAATATTTGTGTGGCTTTGCTGAATCTGATTAGAACTTGCTTCATCAAAAAATTTAGTATACAAAAGGGAATTAATGTTTATTAATACTGTGTCTTTCATTGTATATTTAAGGTGGAAATATTTATTATTATTATTTCTTTTATTTTAGACATTTCTAAAAGAAAGTTTCCATGAAGCAAGTCTTGATCCAACATATTGCAATTATGTAGTAGGTGGAAGAATAGCATACCTGTGTTCTGTTCTTGTGGAAGATACTGCTGTTGTTTTCTGTGGTCCAGGCCCAAGAATTCTGGTGGCAGTTGATTTAGATTTATGAGATGCTGTTCCTGCTCCAACTTATTTAATGAAACTTAACTTCAGTAAGTGGACTGTAATATTAACAATAACAAATTTATTTTAACAAAAACAACATTATTGAATACTAGCACACGCATGTGCTTATAGTTACCTATGTAACTTAGTTAAAAGCGAACAACCATATGCTCCCACATCAAGTCAAAAATCATACATACTAATAAGGCAAAAACGAAATAACTTTAGGGTTACACTAAAGCCAAACTCTGCTTGGCGTAAAACAATGCTGCCAAGCAATACTCTTTCAGACACCGAAGACTAAGTAACACCTTTTTCTTTATGGCTTCTTTTATAAAATGGACTGATTAATTTTATTTCTAATTGTTTCTTTAGTTTTGGGATATATGCACATAGACATGCTTTGTCATAATCAAATAAACCGGTTTCTGCATATTACAGAAAACATATTTTTTCTGAACATTGGTGAGATATTTTGAATGATTTGGTGTCTTTTCAGTCAGTGGAAGATTAGCCGAAAGGGAAATTAGTATACTCAGAGCAAAAAATTTCTCCCCTCCCCCCCCACACACACAGAAAGGGAAATGAGGCAGGTTGCAAGTAAATAATACCTTTCCATTGAGAAAATATCTTGCATCTCTACCTGTCTTACTTGAGTGTTAACTTTTGCTTAAGTTGCATGTCTTCAACTGGCTTATATTTGGCAACTATTTGCCAAATTTTGCATATTAATTAACAGCGGTAACTTTTAGCCTCTACAGAGCAGGCTATTTGTGTTTTCTTCTATTTGCATTTTACTCGCGTTCTTACTTGAAGAGGAAAAAATTAAACATGTTATTCTATATAATTTTGATTTAAAAAGAATCTAGACAAATTAACTTAAAGAAAGCTAAAATGCATGGATTTATAAATAACTCTCTTCCTTAATAAGTTTTAAAAGTAATTAGTTTATTCAGCTAGCTTGAGATTTCTGTCTTCAACATACTATTTTAAAAAATGATTAGACAACAGTAAATTCAAATTCTATTCCTGGAAGACAGTACTTTCATTTTAATTTGCAGTTATTTAATTAAATTAAATTTCATAGGATAAATTATAAAAAAAAATTTCACTGATGCATATACCTCTAAATTATTATTTTAAAATGAAATGAAACAGCAAGCATAACATACATGGCAAATGGCTACATTCTGACTTTGTAGTTTAATCTCATATTTGATATTTCTGTGTTAGATACTATATATGTAGTCTACTGTTTCTTTTAAATATATTATATTAGGGCTTTTGTAATTCAGTACATGTATGAACGCAATAAATTAATTAAGCAGAAATTACTACTGAGGTTCATGACCAAATGTTTGCGTGCAATAAAAATAAAATACATTTGAAAATTGCTGACAAATACAACTTTCTGGATGAATATTCAACTGTTAACACAAATTTATTTATGTGTCATAAATCAAGTGGATAAAGTAATTGTACATTGGCAGTTCATTCTATTTCAGTTCAAATATTATCTGTGTGAATATTTTCATTGCTTTCAGCATTAATTAGAATAGTTAAAGCTTTAAAGACATTATAAATAGTATTAAAACATAATCTCAAAAGCTTGTGAGATCATATTGTGAGTTCAACATGTGAGACAATTTGGAATTTTGATTTGAACTCATTTTTCATGGGAAAACCGAAAAATATATGAAATTTTAAATGAAAAATATGTAAAATATGAATATAACACAAAATAAAATGTTTGATTAATTATACAAACATTCCAATAAAATGAGAAAGCTGCTCAAATGACTGAGTAGCAAAGTTACTAAAAAATGTGTCTAAGGGATAAGATTAATTTTTCTTTTACGCATTTTGCAAGGGAAATGTTTCTGAAATTTCATTTCAGTTTGTTAAAATTTTCGTCAGTTCAGAAAATGCGATGCTCCCAAATTAACTAGCTACATGGGCATTTTCTTACTTTTCTCCTTGTGTAATGTGAGTGGGAGACAGTTTCCCTTAAAAGGTCTTCCATTAAGGCATCTTCACTTTAAGAATATTGTGCTTCCCCATAAAAACCATTAAACAAACAAACTGAAAATACAAAGCACTGTTAAGTTTTTGTCATAATTTGGGGTGTTGTCAGAAATTTTATAATTCATCAAAATTTCCTCCAGTAAACTGAACAGCCACATGCAACTCTTTGCCTCCTTAAATACAGTCAAAAGTCGTTAATTCGGACACCCATAATCCGGACCTCAAAGCTAAAATCTTTCTGCGCATGCGCCGCATTGACGCATGCGCATAGGCGTTTTACTCGTGCGCCCAAGACATTTACGACTGCGCATATGCGTCTGCGCAAGTGCAGAATACGTTTTTGCGTGCACGTTTAATGTATAACGGACGCTATAAGCTAAAATTATCTAATTATCTATTTCAGTTAATGTTGATGATTGCGTTGTTCCTTAATCTTCGAATTGGATCCGGCTTATTATTTTTTGAAGACTGTAAGAGCAATTTTCTAAAAGTAAGCTTGAACTTTTGATTATGTCAAATAGAATTTCCGATGCTGGAGCTCCCAAAGGATCTAGAAAACGAAAGTATGTTTCGATGTCCATCAAACAAAAAACGAATTGCTAAAAAAAATGGATAAAGGCACATTCTTTGTTTATCTAACCGTTCCGAAATCTGTTTATCAATTTCACGCTGCTGTGCGCGGGAGGGGGGGGAGACATCACGGCCGGCGCGCAATGAACTGGAAGTTGATTTGTCAACACTATCGTTATCTTCAGAGCAGATGTTTTTATTTTATTCGGCTTATAATTCCTTACTAAATGTAGTATTTAATTTCGATGTACTCCGTCTTTGATATGATTTAAATCAAATTCCTCGTCATTATAAATACCATGAATACAAATCAAATAGTTTTCTGGTTGCAATTTTCTAATTTCGGCTATGCGTAAGGTATGCTTTACGCATCCACGCGTTGAAAGAAATGTTTAATAAAGTAAACAAATAAATATTAGGCTTCTTTTTTGGTAAATTTTCATACCCTTTAGATCATAATTGCTCATTATTTTATAAATTACGGTTTCATATTTTTAATTTTATAATTTCTGCATGCCATCTTACCAGATTTAAACTGATGATCTATAATCCGGAAAAATCGATAATCCGGAATCGCCGAAGTCCCGACGAGTCCGGATTAAAGACTTTTTGACTGTATAGTTTTCTTTATAATAAGCAGTAGTTTAATTTGTATAATTAAATATATAACTAAGTTAAATGTATAATTCAAATATCATGCTATGATGCTTGTTTATACGTATCATCAACTTCGTTTTTCATAGTATATTAATGCATATTATAATTTCAAAATGCATAAAATACATTAAATTTTTGAAGTATTAATAAAAGACCAGAAAATTCATTTCTGGACTTTGAGCAAATTGTTTTTTTTTTTAGAATGGGCTTTAACTGTTGAGACAGTATAAAAGACATATATTAGGAATACATTCTGCAATTTTTCAATTTTTTTCAGTCTTTTCTCAGTTTATTATATCAGCTGTATATCAGTATTCAGTTTTACCACATTAAATTCAATTTGACAGCAAAATCGCAAGATATTTAAAAGCAGCCAAACACCAAACTCGTACGGTGTTGCCACTGCTTGGTTTGAAATCATTGAGTCTGTTAACCAAAAATATATTAAATTTTTGTAAAACATGAAATAGATAATAAAACAAATTCAAATTTTGGACTTCCAGATGCACATGTTTGGGTGGAGGACTGCATTATTTAGTATTTGATTGCTCTACGGTTGTTTTTTCACAATGCAAGAAACATGCATAAATTCATGTAGATCCTTCTTTATTATACAGGATGCTAATATTTGGTGGCAACAATTTGACAAGTGATACAGTTAATCTATCTCAAATTCATATAAATGTATCTCATCATTGTTGGATAATTTCTTGCTTGAAATACTATAGCCAAACTTAAGACGTATTTCTTTAATTTTAATTATAAACTAAAATTTATTCTAAACATGATCAAATTCATATGAATTGTATTTTAGAGATTTTTGACTGTTCTATCAAAGAAAGAATTACTGTCCATTAATATGCCAAATTTAACAGTTTTTGACCAAATGAGCAAAAAACTGAGAAAAGCAGACATTCAGGTAAAGTTGTTCATATGGATAACTTGGAGAAGAGGAAAACTTTTTTTTTTTTTTTTTTTTTTTGATTCATTAGATTTATTGTACGAATTGGAAGATATGGAGACAATCTGGCATGCATTGGTGCAACTTCTAGGAACCACAGTGCATACTTACAATTTTTTACAAATGGAGGTAAATATGTTTTATCAAATTGAATATATTACATGAGATATTATTTAAATGCTTGAAAATGTTTTTGAGTTATTCCATTATTTTTACATAATGCCATTCTTCCTTTACTTTAAAGAAATTATTAAGTAATGCATTTATAATTATTAAAATATTATACATAGTATTCACGTAATCATAACATGTCTGCTGAAGTGTCACTGTATTACGGATACTTGATTAGTAATAAGTTATTTCTCTGTTAACCCTGACAATGTCTATCACATGCTGAGGCTTACTTTCAAAAAGTCAGCAGAAATGTTTCAGGGGTAAGCCGTGCCAAACATCTAGGATTTCCCATGAATAAATTAAGAACACTGTGATGTTGGATGATTGGATCACACCTCTTCCTTCAAGATATACCAAATCATTTAATAAGTTTGGGTTCTTGGTGGCCATTTCAGAAAAGAGAATTCTGTAAAATGCTCCTCAGAAGAGAAATTGTCTTTTTGGAGCACTCTATTTTCATCCAGATAGCAGAAAAGTGATAAGAAATGTGACTTTTGAGCAGTTTCACATACTTGTTGGTTCAAATAGCAAAGATCCCAAACATTGTCAAGGAAGCTGTCTCGAACCATCACTGAATCATCACAATCATCATGACCTTGTCCATTTTCAGACTGGCACATTGGAAGTTTGGCTTTATAAGGATAGTACCGTATTTCTAACCTTAAAGTCAGCTTAATGCATTTGGAATCAAGACTCATACCTGCATGCCACTTGCTTCCATTCATCAATGAACCAGTCATTGTGTTCTACAACTCGTAGAAGGCAGATGCTGATACAGTGGCATGCTGTTGGATGTGGTACTATCACAGTTCTTTGGCTTCTGAAGTCTGTACAAAGAAATAAGTAGTCACAATTTATCTAATCAGGTGTAAAGAGTCAACTAAATGAGGCGCCCTGTCTGGATTGCTCATGTAGTTAGGTGATCACCTGAACTAAGGTTTAGTGTTATTGGCTACACATGATTATGGCTGAGACTACAAAAGATCATGATCATTCAAGATTGCTTCTTAAATGATCAGGATTTTTAGCAATTGCTTCAAGATGCTAAACTTACACTTGTGCATATCCTATGGGAATATCTTCACATGTTCAAAAATGAGGCAGCAGTACCAGAATATCTGCATATAATGATATTTATCCTTAGGGATGAATAGCATTGTGTAGATATGCATATGCACTTCATTGTGCATATAATATACAAAAAAGGTGAATGAAACCTTTTCTGCATATGAAGGCTTTTGTTATTATCCAGTTCTTATTTCATTTCATTGTTATGTTAAAAAGTAACTAAATGCAGCATTTTTTTCAGATTTTTTATCAGCATTTGGTTGCCACTAAAAAGAAGAATCATTCAAGTTCTCTTTGCTTCATTAACTGAACAATACATTGTTGCAATTTAAAATGTACATTAAAGTTACCATTTGATTGACAATCATCCATCAATTTCTAGTGCTGAATTTTTATTTTCTTGCCCCATAAATATTTATAAGTACACACATACGCACAAAAAATATTTTTAATGCATTAAAATGGTTTCACTATTTCAGTAATATTTAGTTATTTCACTTTTTATTAATTTTTTAAAATTTTCAATTATTTTGCTCATTTCTCAGGCATACAATGGCATCTACTACATGAACTGAATTATTCTCTTGCTCATGTTTATCCTATAGTTCTTCCTGAGAATGGCATCAACTGGAAGTCGTTGGTGGCAACCATCAGGTTTCTTTGAAGATGCCTGCATTAGATGATGACATTTCTATTGATGGTTCTGAAATCAATGCATTTGAGTTATTGGATGATTTGAGAGCAAGGAACTTGATCCTACAAACTGGTGGTTTGGGCCATACTCTGAGGTGAGAAAATTGAGTGTATTTTTAAGTTCTGTTAGGTATTGTGTTGCCCATTTAAGTTAAATTATTAACCATTGACTCATTTTATGAGAGAAATGGTTATTTTTATAGTAAAAACTGAACTCTGGTATGGTAGGTTTATGTAGATGTTTCTATTTTTAATTTTTTACTATCGCCAGATGTGCTCGCTTCTCATTTTTCTCCGCACCACTTTCATGTTCACGTTACTTTTCAAATAAAAGGATACTGCCTCTAAATGTTATTGTTATGTATTATTTTCAAAGAAATGATATAGGAAATTAAAAAAAATATTTTGGCAACACTTAATACTATATCAGGAATCCTAATGATATGCTGCTTTTAAAAATTTTGTGATTTTGCTATTGAATTTTGTGTGGGGTAAGTGCAAAGAAAGGGATGCTTAATAATAAAGTTAAAAAGACAAAGATAATTAGCAGGTCATTTTGTTAAGAAAGCTATGCATTGATATGATGAATTCAGAAATGACAATAGAAAGTAGGAAAATTTGTGGCAACATTTAACACACTATTGAGAATTCTAAATGTGAATCTACTATTGAATTCTATGTGATGTAAGAATTCAGTGGGCAAGCTACAAATTTCATAACATATGATACCATTTTATAATATAGAACCATTAATTGCCGAACAAGCATTTTTGTCTTTTAAATGCTCCCTAAATTTGTTTGAAAATTTAAGCATTGAAATGGTATCTAAGTCAGAAAATTCATTCTTGAATATTTTTGTGAATTTGTCAGCCATATTTATGTGTTTAAATAAATATATAGGTACCCACCTACATACATGCATATATACAAGATTAGGCATAATGAATATTTTACTTGGAATTTTTGTGCTACCGATACCATATACAATATTTGATTTTATATTTATAGACTTCTTTTATATACATAATTGAATTTATTTTGATAACTTTCTCTATCTTGTTTTAAAAACCTCTGTAACTGGAAATCATTTCTAGGATTAATACTTTAGAAAATGAAAGATTTACTTAGTATTTGCAATGTGACAGAAAATATCAAGAAAAGAAGTTACTTGCAATTTTTTATTTCTGTATTATAATAGAGTTTTCTTTTTTGCATTTTGTTAGCATTTGTTTTAAAAGGACATTTGCATTCTCAGTTTTTTCATTTAAAATTTCAAAGTTATACTCTGGCAGCATAATGACAACATGAAGTGACTTTTCCGTAGACTAAATTCTTTATAATGCAATAGCTGGAATTAGTATATAAAACTTGCATTTATATGAAGAAGACAATGCAGTAAAAAGGGGTGGCTAATTTGTTGTTAGTAGGAGACACATATTGGAGCTGAAGAGGATTGAAAAGTAATAAATATTATCTTTAAAAGTAGTAAACCAGATTTAGGATAGAAAGTAGTGTTTGAAGTCATTTAATAATATTTCACATTTCTTAATTCATAAAATCACATAGTAATAAACACAAAGAAGTAATTTTTTGCTCTTGCTCATTTATCAGGAAAATATGTTTAGTAGCTACACACATTTTTTTTTCACGTGTTCATTTTTTCACATTTCGCACATTCATAATAAACACAAAGAAGTAATTTTTTGCTCTTGCTCATTTATCAGGAAAATATGTTTAGTAGCTACACACACATTTTTCTGCAATGTGTTGAACATTTTCTTACCCAAATAGGAAAACAAGTTTTTTTCCTTTGATTTCCAATATTTATTTTCTTTCTGATTACAGCTATGAATCAATTTTGCCAATTTTAATCAACTACTACATTCAAAATAAACTTTTTCTTACCCTCCAAAGGTCAGATACTTGCTGGGTGCTTAAATCCATAACAGTGGCTAAATTAATTACACATCAAGCTGAGACATGAAACTTATTTTAAAATAAGCTTTAAACTTAGCACAATTTTTTTTTTTTTTTTTTTTTTTTTCGGTCTTTATCACTAACAAACAGGGCAATCGTAACATGGGATATTAGCATACTGCCCAAAACAATAAGTGTAAGATATATCTGTGGAATATTCCACTTCTTAATATAATTTCTAAAACTTACAGCACATAAAAATCCTTGTGCCTTTTATGATAATTTTAGTGTTTTCCTGGCCTTCATTGGAATGAGCCCAGAGACTTGGGGAGTCATTGCCGAAAATTGACATAAAATCGACTCAATTTGATCTAACAAAAGCACTTGGTTCTAGAATTTGGATCAGTCTTTTCTAGAATTAGAATTGCATTAAATTAGTAATTATGAGTTAAATAATTATTTAAGTAGTAATGTCCTAAATAATTTCCTAAGCTGTTTTTAATTTGTTGAGTTTCTAAACTGTTAGAGGTGTTGCTTTAACTGGGTCAGGAAGCATCTTTTGCAATCAATTAATGCCATTCACTACTGAGTCCTTTTCAGAGCTTTTGTATTGAGTATATTGTTTTCAGTGTATTCGATAGTTTGATCATTGTCTAATATCAAAAGGCACTGAAAAAAACACTGCTCGAAGAACAGCAATTTGTATTTTCTTCAGATGAAGATTTTTTATCTGGAAATGCTTACCAAGGTTGTAAAATTTATATGTAATGAACTGTTATTTGTAGCTGTTGGCCATTTGAATCATTACACCATGACAGAATCACACATCAAATCTGAAATTTGTATAAAAAGTAGAACATGCTGGGATATGCAAATGTTCAGTATTCCACAGCATGTGTACATTATATGAAAGAGTAAATAACACTACAAAGTAATTTAAAAAGGCAGACTAAAATGCCAGTTTTTCATCCATACATTATGTTTACTTGTTATTTTGAAGGTTGGGGGTCATGTAATGTCTCATAAGACAAGAAGCAATTCATACTAACATGTCTCAGAATTCAGTTGCAAGGAGACTCAGTATTGTGAGTTACTGTGTATCCCAACTGCTAATCATTTTGGTCTAATGATTTTTGCTAGACTTTGCAGTTAATAACTCCAGGAGAACCACAGAGATTGGCCTGAGAATCTCATTGGTCTTCTCTCACTATTGCCCCAAATGACAGATATCTTGCCCACATGACTGTTAGGAATTTTTTATAGGAAACTGGATATATCGCTTAACATCAAGTATGGCTCAATGGCATCTGAAGCACTGTAGATTATTTGTAAAGGGAGCATTACTTCAGCTTTCTTTCACACTCTGACACAGGAATCGATGCCTTTGATGGTGTGTTCAGCGCCAAACACAGGTTCATGAAAAGTGTGATGTCACCTTTTCTAATAAGTCCCACTTTTCTTTTAGAATGTTATGATAGTCATATCCACGTGTGGAGAATGCATATTCGAAGCTTGCATTTTTCATCATTATGCTGGCCCAGCAACAGTATGAGGTGCACTGGATGCACATCCTGTTCACCAATAGTGTGCATATCTGGTACTCTTACCAGTCACTATCATATTACTGAGGTTTTAATGCCCATGGCTATGAATATATCCAGGGCTTCTGTCCCCTCTCCTTTCAATAGAACAATGGGCAAACCATTGTTCCTCACATTGCCCTACATATTCTTTATACACAGGATGTTCAACTCCTGCTTTGCACAATGCATGTTCAAGATTTCTCACCAATTAACAGTTGGAGAGAGACTGAAATGACAATATTTACATGCCAGTGCAACACTCTAGCATAGACCTTGAAACCACAGGTGGACTTTTGTACCCATGACTGCCATCCGAAGTTTGTTTGACTCACAAAAACAATAGCAGGTAACATTCAGTTTCCTTTCAGCTGCTATGAGTTATGATTATTGGGAGTACTGATTTCTGTCCTCCGTTCCTGAATTTTAATCAATTCATCCTTCCATTTGTAGTATTTATCTGAGTAAAATCTAGCAATAAAAAGAGTCCTTGGTCAAATTATTCAAGAGCTCATTTTTCATACTTTGGAAAGCAGGAGATAATATTAATCTTGTTGATCCTACTGCTGTTGGGAAAATAACACAGAGAGCAGCCATATTGACTTTTCATCAGCAGGGATTAGGAGCACTAATCAATACATGATACAATGGCAATAGAAGCGAGTCTAGATGATTGCAGCAGCGTCTTGCTAGGATGAAAGCGAGAAGGATTCAGGGGAAGAAGGAAGGGAGTCAAAAGTTTCAGTTTGAATTAGAAAAAGTTTCGATTTACAATTATTTATTATTATTGCTATTGATTTACAATCTTTTTGATTTCGCAAGAGGCATCTACATTAAGTGTTATGTAAGATCGCATGATTAATTTGAAGGACGCAGTTTAGACTTATAGAGCTATTTTTAAGATAGCGAGATGTTCGCAAAAATGTTTTACTCCTGAAGATCAGGGACTGTGCCTGATCGCCCTCAAAATCGATAGAGATTTATTGAAAATCTTCTCAGATAAGGTAGCTTTTCTGGGTAATTTTATAAGTAAAGCCTTTTCTAAGGGAAGTTTGTGAACATTTAAGTCAAAATTATGTTTACTGAAATAATGCTCTTTAATATAAATTACATTTTATTATTAAATAATCATTAAATTACATATTTTATTAATCCATTTAATTATGTATGATTTAATGATTTCCATTTAATTATGGATTATTTAATGATTTTTAATCATAATTGCATGATTATTATTTGTAATCATAATTACAAATCATTAAATCATTCTGTTTAATAAATTACAATTTATTATTTACTACATAAAAATCTCATATAGCAAATGTAAAGCAATTTACATTTGACTGAAATTTTTTCTGTAGGAATACTTCAGGTTTTGACACCAGGTGCCATTATTATTAAATATTAATTTTTAACACTTTTCCTATTATTAAGAAATTAAATTCTTAATATACAACTGTGTACATTTGTAAATGTATAGAACCAAGTAGATTAATAATATGTATTTCCCTTTAATTAATGAATGAGATAATTAAAGCTAACCAAAATAAATTTTACAGTATACAAGAGTTTCACGAGCACATTTAAATGCAATTTAT